CTATTGAAAATTTCCCCGAGATTTCATCTTTTTTTCACTGATAACCTCCACATTACCACTTGAGGACATAAACATTGAGAAATTTTTTATTTCATTTTATTAAAACACATGGTTGCCCAATGGGATCAGTGTTATCACCAATTTTAGCAGACTATCTAATGGATGACCTGCTTGATATTGTAAGTCAGGTACTGTCTCATAACCTTTTCTTCATCAAAAAATACGTAGATGACATAATCGTTTGCCTACCGTTTGAATGTTTGGATGATATTGTAGATGTTTTTAACAGCTATGACCCCTACATTCAATTCACCATAGAAAAAGAAGATGATAATCAATCTGTTCCCTTCCTGGACTCAAAAACCATCCGAAATAACAATATCTTAATGGTAGACTCGTAAATGAAGCCTATGACATCAGGCAAATTCCTGAATTTCAGATCCTACCACAAACTTAAGATAAAGGTAAATGTGGTGGAACAAATGAAAACAACCCATCTAGCTAAGTAGTGCTATAAGCTTTTGGTAAAAGAACCGTTCAACCATAAAACCTCTCCATTCTTGTTGCCTGAACACCAAAATGCTGGCTTAATGTTGTGTGGAATGCAAATTTGCTTTCTGCAACATATATGCTCTAAAATGAGGTGTTTAAAATATTCTTATAGCATTGTCATACAACACCTTTTAGGAAAAATGTTTAACTGTTGCATAAACGTTTATACAACTATTTTATACGGCATATTTGCACGTTAGTCAAAATGGTTGTGTTGTGGCATCCATGGTAACGTTTATAAAACAAACCCGAGCCTTGTTGTTTTGCTGTGCAAATTTACTACTTTAGCCAACAAATTGCTCCCAACGGAAGCACTTATACAACTGTTGCTTAGTAACTGCTAAAGGCTGTACATATGTAACAATATTACAACTTTTGTAGTACAAAATTGCTGTGCTCGGTATACATTTGTTGCTAAATATGTTGGTATACAAATTCACCATAACCTAACTTTCTGCTGTCATATTCTTGTTAAAATGCCATAACCAATGTTTCAAGACACACAACGCATGCATATTGGTTCAAAAGGTTTTATCAACTGTTCAATCAGAAGATATAGATCTGGCACAAATTCTGGGTAAATCATTCGACTCTGTCGGTATTTCATTTCAGACATTTGTCAAATTGTCGTATAAAACCTGCAGCCAACACCAAAATATTCTAATAAACTAAAGACAACATGGACGATTTGATGATTATACACAACCAACCGCCATATTGGGCAAAGATTTATTCCTCCATTTTAATATTAAATAATTATGTTTCAGTTCGAAATTACAGATATCAAGTGATAAACTAAATATAGGATTTGTGGAAGTTAACGCAGATAAGTGCATTTCTCCATCTCAAAAATCTAGACATACTTTTGATCATTATTAAAATATGAATCAAATACGAAGCCCGCAGAAATTGCGTAACTACTTTGCACGACGATCACAATAAAATTTGCTGCGCAAGTAATTCAATAGCCCTATATCACAGTGTAGAAGTTTACCATATACCTGTGTATGAAATTCACAATGGCCGGTATGTAAGTAAACAAGACGACTGTAATGTGTTAGTTATATATTCTTCACTTCGTCTAGACAATACATACGAAATAGTTTGGTTGCAATAAACTAGAATCACGTAACATAATAGTTGTATAGTTGACATAAACTGAATCTTGCACTGACGCAGATGTCCTATAGCGGCTGCAAGAGGCTTACACTTTTGTTGTATAACTGTTACCTGCATCCTTATACAACCTCTTAAATGACTGAAGTGTCCTATTAGGTGTGCCCATTCCGCTTGTATAGCTGTTCTGAGAGGGTTTTGTCAATGTTCTTACAGTATACAATGCTGTTTAAGGTCACTAGCATTTCTGACAGTACCTTCCACCCAACTAGCAAAGTAGTGGTATAAGCTTTTGGTAAAAGAACCGTTCAGCCATAAAAGCTCTCTATTGTTGTTACCTGAACACCAAAATGCTGGCTTAATGTTGTGCGGAATGCAAATTTGCTTTCTGCAACATATTTGCTCTAAAATGAGGTGTTTAAAATATTCTTATAGCATAGTTATACAACACCTTATAGGGCAAATTTATAACTGTTGCATGAACGTTTATACAACTATTTTATATGGCATATTTGCAAGTTAGTAAAAATGTTTGTGTTGTGGCATCCATAGTAACGTTTATAAAACAAACCCGAGCCTCGTTGTTTTGCTGTGCAATTTACTATCTTAGCCAACAAATTGCTCCCAACGGAAGCACTTATACAAGTGTGGTTTAGTAACTGTTAAAGGGTGTACATATTATGCTAAATATGTTGGTAAACAACTTCACCATAACCTAACTTTCTGCTGTCATATTTTTGTTAAAATGCCATAACCAATGTTTTATGACAAACAACGCATGCATATTGGTTCAAAAGGTTTTATCAACTGTTTGAACAGAAGATATAGATCTGGTACAAATTCTGGGTAAATCATTCGACTCTGTCGGTATTTCATTTCAGACATTTGGCAACACCAAAATATTCTAATAACCCAAAGACAACATGGACGATGCTATGATTGTACACAACCACCCGCCATATTGGGCAAACATTTATTCCTCTTTTTAATATTAAATAATTTAATGCAGATAAGTTCAGTTTTCCATTTCAAAAATCTAGACATACTTTTGATCATTGTCAATATATGAATCAAATACGAAGCCCGTAGAAATTGGGTAACTAATTTGCACGATAATCACAATAAATTTGCTGCGCAAGTAATTCAATATCCCTATATCAAAGTGTAGAAGTTTATCATATACCTGTGTATGAAATTCACAGTGGCCGATATGTAAGTAAACAAGATGACTGTAATGTGTTAGTTATATATTCTTCACTTCGTCTATACAATACATAAGAAATAGTTTGGTTGCAATAAAGTAGAATCACGTATCAGAATAGTTGTATAGTTGACAAAAACTGAATCTTGCACTGAAACTCTATGTTCACTTATTTTTAAAGTAGAATGGGTTTCTTATACGGATTTTATCGAAAGTATTAAACCATTTTTTTCCAATAAAATTAGTCTGACAAAAGTCTCTCAAAAGAGGCGACTGGTGTAAAAATGCAGTAGATGTTATAAAAAAGAAGTAACGTAGAAAATAATATTCGTGGTGTAGTTATTCGCACGGACATTTTTGAATGTATTGGTTATGCTGTTTATATGACGTGCAAAAGTCTAAACCAATTCACTACAAGACATAATAATGAGAATTGTAGCACTACGCAAAAACGTTCTCGACTGTCAAATGTGATTGTGGATAAACAAGTAACATGTGACGCGAAGTGCGCGACTACGGCGTGGTAGACACCTAAGCTACTACTTACACTTGGCATTAACTGAATATCAGACAGTATGGAGCCAATGAGAACAAGGGTTCGTTTTAAGGAAAAGGTCCACTACTCTTCTCTCTAGCCCCATTTTGTAGTGAAAGGAAAAAATAAGTTCGATCTTTTTACACCGATGTAACCGCGCAGGCAGAAGCCAGGGCACCGCGGCTGCTAGGGCTGTAATAAACGTTGTTAAAAATCGGACCTTGAACTATCTAAGGTTAATAGAACTGAGAAAATCTTCCTCTTGTAGATCGTTCCACAATTTCGACTCTAGGGACAAAGGAGCGGCCGTATCAGTCAGTTCTGGATGTACGAAGTTTGACATGGCCAGGAAGGAAGGCGGATCTGTCTTTCAAGCAAATTGCGCGGCGGCAGAATATAGGAGAGTTCTGACCTAGCAAAGTCCATTGGTGTCGCGGTAGAACAGAGCTACATCGCCCACGGCCCGCCGGTGCGATAGGGTCCCGAGTCTGTCTATCTATCTAAGAGGATCGATCGGTCGGACAGTCCTCCTGTGTCCTCCTCCGAATGTAATAAATGAAAATCATCACCTAAGTGGTTGATTTTGAACCTACACTTTGACGGTATGCTATTATTTACACTGTTTTCATAGTTTACATTATGCACATAGTTTACATTATCTACGCATTGTCTACATAAACGTATAGATAATTAAAGGTGTACGCGTAAAGGCTCATGACTGGTTAGCATATAGAACCTCATATAAAGCTGCTCCAATTATTTCAGGTGCCTGAAAATCAACAAGGTTGTAAAGATTATTAAGTTTATTACTTAGAGTTACTTCAGCTCTGTGATCGGTAAATTACCAAGCGCAATTCTTGGGCTGAGTTATTATTCATCGCCATGCATATATTGCGTTGCTTATCTGAGATAGCATTTATTGCCTGTGGAAACCAATCCTTACTATACTTGACCAATGCGCATTGCTTTAGCGTCTACATATTGGTGTTGGTGCAAGTCGGCTCAATGTATAGAAGCGGCATAATGGTTATTATATCTTCTTATATCGTACGTTCATGTATGATGTAGTGTGTATTTAATACGATCTATTATCAACAATACTACTCAATTCTGTAGCCGGATATAGATTTTCAGCGCTTCAACGAACCGTTAGGCAGCTATTCCCTGGTCTTTCTTTTTCTACTGTGAACAGTTGGTGCAATGGAGAGTCCAAAAAGGCTGATTTGGCTGAAATCAATGATGATAACTCGGTTAAAAGAAGGCGGATGCCTTACGTCAAATGGTGGATTCCTTTTTGGTCTTCGTTTTCAGACTCTTTGTATTGGTACAGGTACACCACATACGGTGGCTCATGAGGCGCATTACTACTTCACATTGCGAGTTTCTATAGCGGTTCTATCAATATTACGGATCTTGCGATGCTCGTACTCCCTTGCTGTACCCGGTAGTGTAGTATGGTAAGATCATACTGTATAATATATTGTTATTAGAAACTTGTTAGGTATTGCAAATGATACAATTCACCGAAAATGCTGCGCTAGGCAGAGGAATGACCGAGGTACCTTGCAGCACCTATCGATATACATTTTTAGTCAGAATAAAAATAATCATCCTGAAATCAAGTTGTGTTAGTAAGGGCGGAAAAGCCCGAATAGATAAATCTATTACATGGCGATCCTGCCAGGATCCTTTACTAGAAACTGGTAGTATAATAAAAAATGAAAGAGCAGGGAGGGAAAAGAAGAAAAAGCTGTTTCATATCAACTGCTAGCTCCCCTGAAGATGCTATCAAGAGAGATCCTCGCAGAAAGTTGAAGGTATTTCCTCATAAGTTACTACATTTAATATTTATATACCTTTTGTATAGATTTTTGTTGAAAATCAGTATAAGAAGCCCATGGAGAAAGAAATAATGCTGGGGGATATGTATGTACACGCTTATTACTGAATGGAAGAGAATAAATTTTGACGGTGCCGAGTATCATGAACAGTGAATTCCTTTCTGGTTTTTTGAAGCAATAATATCTAATAGACAAATAATAGAACAGTAAACAGTGGTACTGACTGAGTGTGGATGAACACTTGAACAGTAAATAAGATTTATGGTATAAACATGATAACAAAGTTATAAACGATATGCATATTCATTACTGAGAATACCAATAAGTAGAGTATTTGTAAGGTTATCATTTTTGTTCAGTACATCCCAACCTGAAAAATAGTTACAACTTAGTTTAATTGTTAGAAGTTGAGGACATATTTAGAAATATCTGATGATGTGTTTCTAATTTTTAAAATTCTCTTGTCGAAAAGTTGATATATATTTTAGAGCGTCACCTAATTAGCATATTAGATTTTTTGACGACTAAAAAGTATGTAAATATGGCTTCATTAGACCTACATACGAAATTGAAACTTCTACGCACGATGACGATGGGAAGTACCAGAGGAACAATAAAATTAACAAAGGGAATCAGTAATTTTTGTTATAAATCATGCACTAGAAACGGATTTAAAAACTATATCAATGTTTAAACAAACATCGTGTTTCAAAATAATTTCCTAGTCCATTCACAGACTGTACCGATGCAATGTGAAACCCTAGATTAAGTAGACAGAATGCTAATGCCACATAGGAAAATGTGGGTCAAGTTAAAAGTGTTGATATTCCAATTTCCAGTTAATAGCAGTGGACCTTTTTAATTTTGAAATGTCTACGTATCGTACAAAATCGTAGCGAGGATACTACGAATATTGATGAACCTAATATAGTAGAAATTCTCAGAAACTTAAAGATAGCACGGAACTAATTTTTACGCCGTTGAAAGAAATTAAGAGATATAAACAAAGTATTACATTACAGTCGGGGGATTTATATTACGTACCTTCGCATTATACTCTATATGTGAATCAAAATCCTCGACCGACATTGGCGTGAGACGAAATGTTGAGAGACTTGATTGACATCTGTAGTTAAGCAAACAATGAGCCGTATTCATAAAAGAGAAGCATATCCTCGGAAGCATACGGTAAAAGTATAAGGTCTTGCTTCGGTGAAAAAGGTAGAAGTATAAGCATATCCTTGGTTTCATATCCATAATGATTACCTTATACTCGCGAGGATATCCTCCAAGACGAAGTAAAAGGTTGACGACTGGTATTTGTATCTTGAGCGACATGTCCTGACTTGTTCCAGCTTGTAGTTCACGTGAGAGTTCGTTCACTCAGCATCACTGACAGTTGTACTCCAAAGCTTACGCAGACCGTTCCGTATTTTTACTGGATACAGTTTTTTATCAAATTAATAGGCATGTCATCCTCAAGTGATGAGGAAACTATAGAAAATAATGTCAACGACCTGCAGTTCATCGCAGATGAAATTGCCATTGCCCCCATTATCTTGCGAAATTCACAAGTTCCAAAGATAAAATTGAGAAGGGACGATGCCTTGAAGAAGATGTTGAAAAAATACGAATCAACATTCGGTAAACCATTAGATCCTAAAGACTTATTAAAAAAATCAAAAAACTGGTAATAAAGCAATTAACTTGTTAGATTGGGAAGTAAAGTTGCTGAAAGCTATGGAAGGTGACTGTAATCCTACAATTGGGAGGTACCATTCAAGTTGGTACTGTTCAAGAAGAAGGTAGTGAACTATATACCGAGCGTAGTGAGCAAACAGTTAGTATTTCAGCGCCAGCAATTCAGATGACATTGCCTCCAAAAAGAAAATTAGCAACAGAAAATACGAAACTGAGGAAACCAAAGGGTTAACTACAAAAGAACTGTAACGTCTAGTGCTATTACAGCAGTACCAAACAAGTATTTTACAACAAGAGTATTATAAAACGAAATTAGAAATGATGCAACGTCAGAAGCCACCTGTAACTTATGATGTTCACGAAAATCAAACTTATTATAACTTATAAATACACTTTAATCAGTAAAACTATTTATTAAAATACTCAAGTTCCTTCTTATGTGTTGACCCCGTTGGCGGAAAAGAAGTTCGTCATTCTGATGATTTCCTTCATCTTCATCTGGGTCTTGTTCTACTAACTCAAAGTCAGGATCGCCGGAGCTCTTCGCAATATTATGGAGTACAATACAAGAAATAATTATTTTCGGCACATTTTCCAACTTTACGCGGCAAACATACTGTAGGATAGGAAACCGGCGTTTCAGTTGGCCGAAGCAGCGTTCAATATCTCTTTCTTCTTTTAGAAGCTTACTATAATTTATTTCTGCACCTGGAGTTGTATTTGTGAAGGGAGTCATAAGGCATGGCTCAATACCATTATCGCCAAGTGGTACAACATTTGCTTTATTTATTAGTTGCGATCTAGACTGTGAATTTCTCCACATTCTGGAATCATGCACTGATCCAGGCCAACTGACATCAACACATGTGAACATCTCTCTGGCATCACAAGTGGCTTGCACATTTAAAGTAGGTTTTGCTTTTCGGTTGATATACTCATCTCCATGGCGATTTGGTTTCAGGATTCCTATATGTGTACAATCGATTACACCAATTGCTGTCGAAAATTTATACATGCTTTACCATATCCGCTTTTCCTCCATGGAGGGTAGTTAGAAACCTGATCCATTCGTTCGACTGTGCAACTATGCTGTTCACAACTCTATCCACAGTCTGAGATACCGTTGCTTGACTAACTCCAAGTTCCTGACTAATACCTTGTTGATATCCAGGTTCACCGACATAGCGTACACATATCTTAATTTTATGAATACAAGAAAGTGCTCCTCCTCGAGTTTCATAATTTTCAACTAAAAATCTGTCCGCAAGCCATTGTACATTTGCTTCGTCGAACCGATTAAATTTTCTGAAGTCACGACCAAGTGAAGGTAAACGAGGTTTGTACGTTTTTAGCATCCCTAACATCCACAATTTCCGCCATCATCGCTTGACCACCTTTAGTTACGAAGTTGAGTCTGCTACTGACCACACTCAGAATTTTTGAAGGATATGCTTCCGATGCCAAGTATAAGGTGAACATTATGAATATCCTTTTACGTATGTCACTACTTTGAAGGATATGCTTATACTCAAAAAGCAAAAGCGTTTACTTCAAATTATTATAAATAGCATCTGGAGGATTTCCTTAAAAATTTGCAAGTACAAAGATATCCTTTGTTTTATGAATACGGCTCATTGTTGGGCCGGTCTCCGTATATGTCTATTAAAGGGTGCGAGAAAAATTGTCGACAATGATGAAAAAAGAATAATTTTAAATTGCTTCAATTTACTCCCGACTAGTGGACACGAAGGCGTGAATTGAATGGTAAACAAAATATCAAACAATATTATTATTGGTCCGGTATCGACACGAATGAATGAATTTGTAAGAAATTGCGATACCTGCCAGTAAATGAAATACTCAAATCACTACGACAAGGAACCCATGGTAATCACTTTTACAGCGAGCTATGCGTTTCAAAAGTTATACTACTACGCATCAGCAAGACTGGAGTCAGAAAGGTAAATTTACAGCGTGGGGGTGAAGCTAAAAGGTCGAGAATAGAGGCTTCTATAGCCACTGCGTCAGAAATGTTTTTCAGGTTCTGCACATGTGGCATCTCACTCGCGTTTGCGTCGCTCTGTAGCTTTCGTCATGCACATAAAACGTAATCAGCGCTAGTTTTGACAGCTCATACGAGTTGCAAGCTGAAGTGTTGAATATGGTTAGTATCAATATCTAAACCAACAAATCATGGCAAAACGCGAATAAGCAAGTAAACCATTAGGTACATTTGGTAAATGGTCAAAATAGTTGGTTATGTAAACATTTTTCACGTACATGTATGCGTACATGCGCAATACTGGCTTCATGCGAATACGTGTTTTGCCTTTACCAACCCCCGGGACCCCCACCCCGTTTCTAGTCTTGTCAGCATGAGAGCACCTATTCACTTCCAGGACTTTTGTGGAGAGAAAAGCAAAAAGAGAGAAGGAAAAGACCTAAGGATATGATGAGCTCACAATAAAAAAAGTGGTCAAAGTGATATTGTGATTTTACCGTGGTCTGAAATCAACTTTGATTCGTGCTGATGTAAATTGATGATCTGATGTTGATCACAATATAGGTTCGATGAGTGTGGACTTCTCTGATTTCATAGTTCACTGAATCATGCATCATAGAGTTGCAATGCAAATCCTCTTGGGAGAATATCACGTTTTCTGACAGGTACATGCGGATTACAATAAGCTCTTACCTAACATGGGAAACCATCCTTTTCTATTCTCAGCCTTGGATATGATAAAAACAGATATGGAGAAAAATGTTTCGGTATTGTCCATCTGATTTTTTCAATACTTAATCGAATATAAATAATTTTCAAAATTCAAATAATTTATTGTACGTCGATTATACTTACACAAGACATATTGTATAGATATATAAATATATGATATGTAACATATACAAGCAAGATTATAAAAATAAATTAAAACACATCCAAAATAATATTTAAAATAGAGATAAAAGTTCAATATAGTTGAAAAAGCTTATTGTACGAGTAAAATGTCTTCATAATTAAAAAATCCAAGATTGTTTGTTAATAAACATTCAAATTCAAAGATTTGACAGCTAATGGAAGTTTGTTAAAATATTTTGGTGCTATATATCTTACACTTTTTTGTCATTCAGACAGCCTAAAAGTTGGAATATTCAAAGTACCCGTAATTCTAGTGTTGTAGTCGTTCAGGTACGGTTTACCATATATTAATACCTCGTATATGGATTTTGTCAAAGTGTAAAGTTACCTTTGATCTATATTTGATAAGACTAATAAA